GGAAACCGTGTACCCGCCAGCAAACCTAAATCAAACACAAGCTGTAAGTTATTTACAGTTAAAGTATGTCGATGGCAATAAGCTTGATAGAACTAGTGGAACGGTTACTGTTAATATTATTATGTAAAGTAAAAAAAATATTGGGTTAGAAACCAAATATCCACCAGCAAATGTTGATAATACACAAGCGTTGAGTTATGCTCCGCTAACATCTGTTGACGATAATAAGCTTAATAAGACCGGCGACATAATGACTGGTAACTGGTAATCCGCAATAACTCAAAAGTAACTGGATTACCGATAATCTCACCTCCAGCTGATGATACTGGTGCTATCGGTTATGTTCAGTTAAGAGAAGCGCTCACCTCGTACTTAAATCTATCTGGTAGACCAATGTCAAGCAACATGAATATGAGAACCAATTTAAAAAAACAACATCTGTTCCATTAAAAGAACACACAAATAAAGCATATGTTGATAGTCTATCTAGTGGTGCAAAACGAACTAAACACAATGTTGGGCATATTCAACAATTTTTGAGGCATCTGATAAAGGAGTTGGGTTTGAGGTAAGCGCATTAACACATCATCCTCAAATTTTTCCTCATCACACTTTTGCTGTTGATTATAGACAAGAATGAACGACAAACGGAGAAACAAAAGACCTTTGGATTAAAATCAAATGTGCCGTTGCAGTTACTATCTGGCAATTTCATTTGCGCGGCCTATTAAACTCTAGTGTTGGTCGAATTTATGACTGGCGATTGAAAGGATCAAACGATGATACAACAGCAAAACAAAATATTTCAACAACAAAATACTTTACAATTCCAAATGCAAATACTGTTAACAAGTACTTGTATTTTCGAATTTATATTGTCGAAGCTGAAGGTCCGTTTCCGTTTCCAGGATTAACAGCATTTAAAATACACTCACGATGATCAAATTTAATCTAACGTTGTAAAATAATGTCGAAGCCAGCAATTATAACCTTTGCAAGAAAATTTTACAATAATATTTTTAACCGCGAAAAAGATGTTCGTTGAATAGGTGTCATCAATGAATTTGAAGCGGAAAGCAAAATACAATATATGAAATATCTTCACATTATTTTTTTAAAACAAAATAATACTATCAGAAATTGAACTTAATTTTCTCGCGTTAGGTATATGCGAGGACCACAACTGAGACAAGCAATAAAAAATTTTGTTATCATAAACAGATACTTTCATCGGTAAGAATTAAAATCTTATACATGGCGCCATTCCGTTGTACACGCTGTTTGGAATATTTTTAATTAGAGTCACGTTAAATGGTTATTATTTTCCTACCGATTAATTTTTTTTTATTTCGCTTACAAAGTGCACTTCGAATTTTCTAAATTGTTCAAATAACTGTAGGTCAGAATGACCACCTGAATCTTGTCCTTTATTTTTGTCATTACAAAGTCTGGTGTCCGTAAATATTATGATACTAGATCGTTTGAATCTCGGGTTGTGTGTGTGTGGTGGCTATACCAGGAAATATACCACTGTATTCTACTACAGCAAGTCGACTGGTTAATCCCCCTTTCCCTAACCAAGTAACTCTTTTCGTATACAACTGATCTACTTTTAGCGAAGTATTGTACCAAGGGACCACAAAAACTCTGATTCTGGTTGAGGATCCATAGGTATATACTTCCGCTCCATATGTCCATGTTCTCCTTCAACTCTAGAATGAATACAGAATCGACCCTTGTAAAAATATGATTTCTTGAGGTCACCGTTTGCTCATCATAAATAATAGAATTTCGGTGAGGAATCCAAAGCCGAGTTCCAATTACTGAAATCATCAAAAAAGCTACTCTTTGATTCCTTATTGCGATTTATAATATTGGATCAGTTGTCAAAAATTAAATGTACATTTTCTTTTTTACCGTGTGGGATTTTCTCTAGGAAGCTTTCTGAAGATAAAAGATGAACTACTTTGCTAATATCTAAAAATTTTCCTACTTCCAGTCCCCCTTTAGCAGGAATGTCCTCATTCCCATCCTCTTCGGTAAGGTCTATATTATCCTTTTGAGCATATTATTTTAAACTTATGGACTGAACACAATAAGCTTTAACTGTGATATACCCCTATCACGATCAGGATATATTTCTCCTGCTGCTGTGGATGCTTTGGTAGTGGCCACTGATACTGCTGCCTTCTTAACAGTAATGATCATAGAGGTGGTGCTGGGTGAGGTACAATGCTTGGCACGGATACGTCTCTTTTTCTTCGATTGAGTTAAAGAAGCATGATACATTTGTCTCAGATACCTTAACTCTGCAAATTTTTATAGTAGCAGTCAATGTTTGACTTTCACCATCATTTTTCTCTTGTTCACACTTCTTTTCTTCTTCGTCTAGTTTTCTTCTTTTATGTTCTTGCTTTTGTTGAATGACAAAGGCTTGTTCTTCCTCTTCGGTCTAAATACTTCTAGCAAAGGTAACGAGGGAGAAGGAGGTGAAAGTTTTAATGAGATCACAGCAACACAAAAAGCAGTCTAGGGAAACGGTGTTCATCGCCTCATCTGATGGCTATGGTAACGGAGACGTACAAAACTAATAGTATCTGATGTAATATATAGGAAAACAAAGTCGGACGTACCAGTAAAATTAACGCTGTTGCCACAGCTAAAAAAATATTGCTACCGCAGTTCAGCATAAGAGACAGACATCCATTAAACTTAGATCAGCAACTTTAACAGGACCTGATAAGATTATGCTGACTCATAGATAGGCCACCTCTGGGATGAAACATGCCACTGCTCACAAAGGACTTGAACTCAAATTGTTAGTGTCAAAACTCTAAAAACAAGGAGGATTTATCGTATAACTATTAGCTGGTATTGTTGAAACTCTTCTTTCAGGATTACTTGGTATTAGAAGTGGACTTCGGCTTCCTGGAACTGCACATGGTAGACTCTAAAAACTGGAACATGAAAAAGATGTATAAGCAATAACATCAACAGTTACTTAGATTTTTTAACCAGAGATTGTTGACCAGTATAATCAAGCACGACATCGAAGTATTAAAATGTCTCCAGCAAAGCTTCATCAGATACCCCATAGGGTCATCATGACCGAAAACAGGAGGTCACAGACCCCTTATTTTTTAACATAAATATAAAGGAAGATGACCGTGTGAGAATAAGTAGAAGAAAGCACATTCACGAAAGGATACACATCTAATTGGATTGAGGAAGACTATGTGGTGGATACAGTCAATAAAACAATGCCAGTTATGTACACGCTTAAAAATGCCTCAGGATAACCCATCAAAGTTTGTTTATACGCACAAGAATTCCAGGAAACCAAATGTGTTCAAAATCAAAAAAGTTCTTTCAACCAAAGGTTAATTTAACTCGTGGATTCAGACAGCGGCAGTGAAAACCTTTAGGAACTGATCGCACGAGGATATAATGCCTCCAATATAATTTTATCATAATCTGCTGACACATTTTATTAGAAACTGGTTGACACTTCACTGCAAGCTCTGGAAGTCCCGTCACCTCAAAAATAGGGTTAAACACATAATTAAATTTGATAAATTTCTGATGGCCTGGAAGATTGAGTTAAAGATTGTTCCAGTTACTAATTGTGTTGTTCTACTGTGTGACAGGAAACTAGTAATACTAAAAGCGCTACAGAGTAATGGAGCAAGCATATGAAGATCATCAGGGCATAGTCAAGACTAAATAACTTCGTAATGAGAAAGTATGGTTTCCAGGTATTGCTAAACAAGTACAGGATTTCTGTCTGCTAAAAATATCAGTTCTACCAGACAACCATTTGTGTCAAATTAGGTTGGATTTCAGGGGTCCTCTTCCATCTGGAGTATACTTAATGGTACTTGTCGATGACTACTCAGGGTATACAGTCATTTAAATTATCAATCAACAACTACAGGATATTGTCAATGTTCGGAATACCAGAAGTTGTAAAAATGGATAATGGACCTCCATTCAATGGACAAGAGTTTTCAAAAGAAAACAACCTTTAATCAACTCCTCCTTAGCTTGTTTGCATCTTTGGAGCATCAATGATTAGCATTCACAATATCCAACATAAATTTTAGAAATATAATGCATATTAATGAAAACTATGACATTGAAAGGCACCAGAATTATCAGAAAAATTATTTTTTCTCCTTAAGAATTCTTTTTTATACTTACATAAAATACACCAACACGTATACAAGGTCATTTATCAACATATGAACATCGAAAATAAAACATATCAATTTATTGCTGATGCAAGGTGTTGAATTTCACTGTGAAAGGAAAGCACATTTTCACTTCAATTAACATTAGTCCTAAAAATGGTCAAGTCCCCAAACTAAGCCTACCTACCACCAGCTGTCAGGCAAGTAAGTTATTCATTATTCTAACTGCCCGCTTTGTACTCCCAATTTATGCACGGAGGGAGGGTAGTAGTAATAAATGTGGGCACAAACGTATGTGCTTCATTGGCACAATTATCATCTTAAATCGATGCATATTAAATATTTTTAAAAAAACTGAGAAGGCATATATATTTTACTTTATTCAGAGAACAACGCATTGGTACATATACGTGTATACCGTTTACACATACATGTCTAATGTTTAGCAATTTATACGTGTATACCGTTTACACATACATGTCTAATGTTTAGCAATTAATAAAGTATCAAAGAGATTTAAAATATTCAATACTTTTTTCACAGGTCATATAGGTCTCATTCAGTGGGGAAAAAATAGCACATCCATGAGATGTGATGAGATTATGATTTTTAACGTAGCTTTAACACTTTTTCAGTCATATAGCTATGTCTGCAGCGTGACAGTTTATAGTGATCATGCCACAGACATTTAACATTATGTCCCACCTAGTAACATTATCCTGACACTAGGCCAACCAGTCCAAACACTGACTCTTAATGGTGAGCGCCAAGCGAGGCTGCTGTTAGTACCATTTTTGTAAGTCTTTGGTATGATTCAACCGGGGATAGAACCAATGACCAACCGCATCCGAGGCGGATGCTCTAACCACTAGGCCACCGGAGCAGTTTTATCACATAATGAATGATGAAGCACATTTACTTTTTAGTACGTCCAAAGTTGGTAAAAGATTGTGTTTTAAGCGCCATATGTTGAGTTCGTAAGCATAAGCTTTTCTCTGTAAAAAGAAAAACACAGTCAAAATGTTTCAGTCACATTGGAACACGAAACAATCCATCAGATTCCATTGCTTTCATTTAAGTTTGATACCGACAACCTTTGAAAAACAACGTTTCTTTGTGTTTTATTGAAGATTGTCGTCGGCTTTCTATGATGAAGGGTGCACGCGTTATTGAATCAGTGCTAAAACACAGCACTGGAGAACCAAACAAATGTCCTTTTTTGTGGCGGAAACATAAAAAAAATGTATTGCTTGATTGAGACTGATTTTTTTCCCATTTGCTCTTTACATTTTCATAACAATAGGTTCTTCGAAGGTAATGTTTTCTTTGAAATTTCAGCTACTATTTTATCTGGGTACATTTATTTCTCAATGAATTGGTCGTTGTATGGTCACTTGTAGTTACTATTGCTCGCTGCCTACTGAATAGACAAGTGAGAGCTTGATTTCATTTTCTGTCTCATTCTTTTACATTTGTGGTAGAGTGATGCTGCCTTTCACTCATGCGTCAGAAATTTAAAAGTAAGGGTCAATTGATAGAGATGCAGGTGTTCTGGTCTGGTGACAAGGATTGCTACAGAAAATGTGAATGTTCTTAAGGATTTAATTCCGAGAGAAAAGATGAATTTTACTTACATCCACATACAAATCTCTCTCTCTCTCTCTCTCTCTCTCTCTCTCTCTCTCTCTCTCTCTCTCTCTCTCTCTCTCTCTCTCTCTCTATATATATATATATATATATATATATATATATATATATATATATATATATATATATATATATATATATATATATATATATATAGTCAAAGATTTGTATGTGGATGTAAGTAATACCAGAAATGCAAATCTGAAATGAAGTGGATATCTCAAAACATACAGAAATCGTGCTAGATGTCAACATAAGTGGACTATGATATAACTAATGCACTGTTGAAATGGCTTGTCAATATGAAAAAGAATTTGTTTATGCAACAATAAATAAATTTCAGTGCATTTTATATCAAATTTGTGGCTTCCTTTCATGGGGCCTCTAAATTTCTCCACTCCAAATCAATAGTTGTATCAAGATATCAATCTTTAAAGAAAGAAACGATAACATTTAATTTGTGTAGAATATATTGAAATCTCCAGTTATTGGAAGACAAAACCTGCGAATTTAAAAAGAATGCTATAATATTGATTTGGATTGTAAGAGAAGCATGGCCCAATCAATAATTCATATCCTGAACATAATAGAACGTTGAAATAAATTCAGAGTAAACTCTGTCAATTTGATTTAGTAATGGAAAAAGCTTGCTTTGATTAAATTGGTAAGCCGGTTTAATAGTTCAGCAACGGACAACAAAAGCAATTCAATCACTAAAACCTTATTAATTGCGTTGTGATACTGGGAGCAAAGTAGTTGATAATCAGTCTAGAAAATTAGTTGGGTTAAAAGTTCAGAACGTGAATGACCACTTACAACTGGAAGGTTATAGACAATGTATGATACAAAAGGTCGTTCACTTAGGAAAATTACTGAGCATGCAAACACACACTCTGTCTCCCCCTCTAAACTTGATATAAGGTTAAAGCTGTCCTTGACTATCACGCAAGAACACGCGTGACTTTTTAGAACATAGGCATAGTGCATTAGACAGACCTCTCTGACCTTGAATGAAAACGTGGTATACTGATGATCAACAGCTTCCAAGATATAAAAAGCTCTGGGCTGGTTATTCTCAGTGGGATTTCAAGATCAGAGAGTGTCGTGTCTATTTCTTACAGGTAAGAAAATTATGCTTTATACTCGCTCTTAAAAGTTAAAGATTTTATAGTAAGTTGTAATATCCTTCTGAATTATTTTTATTTTATCAATATAATGTAATAGTGAGTTCTCTTTTCTACTATGAAATATATTTTACTGATTTGATATTTTACTGAATTGATGTTCTTTGTATTTATAATGTAATATTATTGAGTTTACTCCTTCCACAATCATAATGTAATGAAATATTTTACAGCTTCGATGTTCATTGGTATTTGTTTGAAATAATTACCAGCTTCATGTTATAATTTATTGCGAGTAAATATATATTCTTTAAATAATAAGTATAACACTCACAAAACTTTTCCAGGTCGTTATCTTATATTAAATAGAATAAAATACATTTGTTACAGTTATTGAATTTTAGGCTCTTTGAATATTTAAATCACTTGTATTCAAAAATGCAGGAAAATGAATAAACAAATGAAGTGGTAGATTGTGGAAGAACTATTATTGTAATATGTATTGTATGTAGTTTCAACATAAATAAATTTATATGTTGTATCTTTAGAATGTAGTTCTATATATCAATAAAGTGAGATTTCAAGATCAGAGAGTGTCGTGTCTATTTGTTACAGATTCTTTGTACCTTCTCGTAGTCAAGCTTCCTCACCAAAAAGATGTAGTTGTATTGACTTTATTTGTGTGACACCTTATCTTTAAGAGAGCCGAATTTCTTCTCTCTCTCACTTCCTCTCTGGTCAAGAGTCTATGCTTCTCTTAAAGTAGCGATAAATTCCTTCTCATAGCCAGAAATGAGAAGAAGAAGGTTATGATAGAAAACATCTAAACAACAACGAGACTTTTCTCATCTTAATAGCTGTATATATAAGTTTAAATAACCAACAATGTCACCAATAAAAAATTAATCTCTAGATGGTATATTTTGCAACCAATAAGGAAAACAAAATCACAATTTGAGACCTTGGCGAAGCCCTACGTGATTCCTGAATAAACATTTTACACATTATTCTCCATACTTTTAAGAAGAAAACACTATCTTTTTGTACGAGAAAAATGCATATAAAATTTCCGTAGCCACACCACGATCATAATATCTTATTCATATGCGATTTCTTCCCTAAAATGATTATTAATATATTTTGTTTTTTTCCCCCATACTTTAGAAATTTTTTTGATTTATGTACGAGAAAAATATATGTATATGAAATTTCGGGAGTCACAAAACGATTGTTTTATATCCAAATGTGTGTTATAATGGAGTGTGATATAGCGGGCTCACACTGAAGTGGTAGCATTTTCAAAAGATGATTTTTATTTGAAAGAAAATGCTATGACAGAAAAGCTGCTGTGGTTATCTTTGATTTTTGGAATTTGTCAGTTTAAATGCAAGTTTGTTTTATATGTTCATGTTGTAAAAGTTAAAAATGTTAATTTAATGTTAAATTACCAATATAAGGTGAAATTTCTTGTCGTATACTTAACATTGCTTTAGCTATTTCATGCCAGTTATAACAACTACGATTGAAGTATTGACATTTCAAGAAATACAAAATAACAGAAGAAATTTTTTTTTGTTCTGTAAAATGCGCGAGTTATTTCATTAATCTTGCATTTTATTATTTGAAAACACTCCGGCACAATATATATATATATATATATATATATATATATATATATATATATATATATATATATATATATATATATATATATATATATATATATATATGTCTCAAAACAGCACCAAATACAGAATTATTTACATGAAAAAGGGTTTACTTGTTGAGAACAACAGAATAAAAGCATCCAAAGTAATATTCAATCCATCTAATATCTAGGCTTCCACGCCTGATAGGTGAATGATAACATAGTGTAATTTTCAAAAAAAAAGATATTTGGCTTTCACCATCTTCCTGAGTGTTTTTAAGTGTAAATGGTATCTGATTTTTAATGCATGTCTTCATAATGCCTGAATTTTAGTCTCCAGGGTTCATAAGCTTCCACTAGAGTGAAAATTAAATCCTTGCCCAGACTTTCCAGGGTTTCAAAATGCAAAAAAAAATAAATAATAATTTCAAGGAACTCAAATATGCCAAACTGCTTTTTCACAAAGCCACCATCATGCCTTATATCAGCTGTATATTGTGATAGACCCAGCCAGTCCAATTGTCCATCAATGTGCAATTTCCAGTTATATATACATGCCAGCCCGTGGCAAGGTAAAGTGTAATTCAAGTGGACAAAAATAGTAATCTGAGCAGAAAAAGAGTAATCCACATATAACATGATAAAATTCAAATCGATTATGTACAAAATGATTTATTTACCCCTCTGGGTTTTAACATCAATTGCTGCTTCAAGTTTTCATATTTTGAGTTTTAAAAAGCAGCAAAGAACCTGATATATACAATGAATGAAACAAATTTCAAAATATAGAATGCAACTTATATATATAAACTATATATAATAATATAAAAATATATAAACTTATGTTTATTCAAAACATTATAAAACAATTAGAAAATGTTTTATCCAGTGCAATCTGCAGTTGTAATGTACCTTATGTTAAACACTTAACAATATTTTATGATTTTGTTCTTGCATGTGCATGCAATTTCGTCAATTTTGAGGAAGCATCCGTTTGAACAAAGGACCAAAGTTGTATTCTACCACTAGTGGAAGTCAGTGTTCTATTAAGAATTCTGTACATAATGCGCCTGCATTTATAAAATTCGTTTCCACAATTTAGTTCTGCTGTAAAAAAAGAAGTTACCTTTGTAATGAAGTTAGCAAAAAGAGATAATTCAAGGCGTCTTTCTTTTACAATATGACCAATATGAAAATCCTTTCCACACAGACTGCAATGAGCGTGAAGCTACCCTAGAATGGGACACTCTGTTATGTGTATTCACCTCCGACTCTTTTTTTACTGTTTTTTTTTAAATACTAATCTGTGAAATCATTTGAGAAATATTTTTGCTGCAACATACGCATCGACTAGAATAAATCGGACTTGACTTTTACTGCCAAATACCTAAAGAATGGTTCTGTAACTCATATGATTTATAACAAAAAATATGAGAGCAAAATTTAAAAATTAGAAAACCAGTC